TATTGGATCACACAGTATTTCTATTCTTACTTTTTTGAGGACCTTTATACTGTTTTCTACAGTGGCTGAACCAATTTACATTACTGCCAACAGTGCCCGAGGGTTCCTTTTTCTCCATGTCCACACCAACACTTGTTATTTCTTGTCTTTGATTCCAGTCATTCTGACAGGTGTGAGGTGATATCTCACTGTGGCTTGATTTGCATTTCTCTGATGATGAGTGATGTTGAGCACCTTTTCATGTGTCTGTTGGCCACCTGTATGTCTTCTTTGGAAAAGTGTCTGTTCAGGCCCCCTGCCCATTTTTTAATCAGATCTTTTTTTCTTTTTTTTTTTTTGGTGTTGAGTTGTGTAAGTTCTTTACATATTTTGAATATAAACCCATTATCATATATTTCATTTGCCTATGTCTTCTCCCATTCAGTAGGTTGCCTTTTCATTTGTTGATGGTTTCCTTTGCTGTGCAAAGGTTTTTTATTTTGGTGTAGTCCTATTAATTTATTTTGGCTTTTGTTTCCCTTGCCTGAGAGGACATATCTAGGAAAATGTTGCTAAAGCCAAAGAGATTACTGCCTTTTCTCTTCTAGGAATTTTATGGTTTCAGGACTCATATTAGGTTCTTAATCCATTTTGAGTTTATTTTTGGGTATGGTGTTGGCAACTGTCACTTCAGAACAGTGCTACTCAAAGTGTGGTCCGTGGATGGGTTTGAATTGTTTGTTATTGATTTGCCATGAGATAGGAAGTTTGTGCCATCATGTGACCCAACTATATCACTGAGCATGCTGGCTGCTTCAGGTGGAATTTTGCTTTTTTTTCTTATAGCAGGATGTTCTTATTGAAGTAAGTAGTTCAGTAATTCACATGCTGACACAGGTTCTTTACCTTCTCACAGACAAGTGCTCTGAAACACCTTGAGTTAGAGTACAGGCAATGTTGCTATCATGATGACATTCCAAACAGTAAATGGACTAAATAAAATAGACACGTATTTCTCACTCACACAACTGTCTAAAAACAGGCAGGCCATTTAGGAGAGTTAGACAGCTCTCTTCCACATGGCCATCCAGGGCCCCCGGTTGGCAGTGGTTAAACATCTCTGAGTCCAAGGCACCTGCTGTAATTGTATCCATTTTACAGCCAGCAGTCAGTCAGAAAGGGGAAATCCAGGGAGAGTGGTTTTATCCTTAAGAAGATACTTGACGTCATTTTGGCTTTCTCTCCTTTGGACTGAAATGATTCATATGAAGAAAGTTTGATTCAAAAGAGTGAGTGAAATACAGTCTCTAGCTGGAAACTTACAGACTACGCAAAATAGGGAATGTTCTATAACTGAAGGAAGAAAAGGAGACTAGAAAGATTACCCTTGTCTGCCATAGTGAAAATTATGGCTAGAGAGTTAAACTGAAGCTAGACTATTGAGTATTTGAGATTAAATACCAAATAAAATGATGGCAGAAAGACACTGGTAAAAATAAAATAAAATTTCAATTATTATGCAAAATAAATTAAAAAATGTGAAATTTATTGGCTTGTAATTAACTCCTTTTATCACAGTTTCTACAGATGAATTCATAGAAAAACCCAAGATATATAGCCTAACTTTTTCCAAGGCGAATTCTCACATAGTGCAGTTGTCTTTATATATCACTGGTCTTTTTATATTGCACTCCACTCTTGTTCCAATGGAAGCTGGGGATGGAAAATACGTTAGGATCAAGTCTGAGATAAGAAATTTGGTTCCAAATGATTTATTGAAGAGATGCTCTCAAGAAAAACCTATAAGGGGAAAAAGTGAAACAGGAAAGAGAAGTGGAAACAGTTTCTGTGAGTAGAGAAGGCAAAGTCATACTCTGAATGTGTGTGAGCGGGGCTCAGGATGAATCAGTGCCCTTTTCAAAATGGAAATGTCCAATATAATCAATTTTCTACTAAGTGGTAGGCTAGTGCTATTTCTGGGATTTAGAACTGGTCTCTGTTACTGACAAGTCAGATATTCAACAGTGGCTATAACTAGAGCAGACTTAGGAGAAGGAGGCCCATGAATGGCCTCCATCTTGCTATCATGGCTACTCCATTACTTCAGCAATGGGTTGGCTAAAGACAGAGGTTAGGTGGTATGTGGGAATATTGGGAACTGGCTGAATCATTCTGTCCACTTGGTTGTTTAGTGCTTCTACACTGAATACCCTCAGGTGTACATTAATGTGTAGTACAAGTTCCTCACACTTTTTGATCACTATCATGGGTCCATCCACATGCCTTTTTCCTAGAACTTATTAGCCCCAATATTTTCATGCTGTCCCTTTTAATCCCTTGGCTAATCCATTCACCACTGCCTATTCATCTGCTATATTCTTACACTGCCCTATTAGTCTATCCTAGATGACCAGGAACATTGCCCAGAACTCTGTTCACTGGAAGTTTTCCCTTAACTACTGGTTTTTAGGAACCTCTCTGAATGGGGCTGTGGTGCAACAGCAGTCTATCTTAGCCCTCTGCCAATATATGACTCAACCTATCTGCAAACCAAGCTTGAGTTTCCCCCCTTCATCAGCAGATTATAGGGGGCCTTCAGTGAAACTGTAGGAATGAGCTGATATAGAGATATTGGTGAACAGTGATAGTTGACAGAAGGGTCTGGGCCACTCATTTATAAGGTTACTTGTAGCCTTTGGATCTGCTTGAGACCAATCCCAGACATACCACTCCCACCTTACAATGAACTGCTACTGGGTACAACCCAATATTCAGCTTATGATGACCACTTACGGCCACACAATCACTTTGAAAATTCATGGCAAACACTATCTCTTCTAGGGCTCTGTAGCATACAGGAGTAGATACTAGTTGGGATGATCCGCTGCAAATGGCACACCTGCTGCAGAACCTTGGGGGTGTACTTCGTGCTTCTCCTCCGGGGCTTGACCAAAACTCTATTTGCCATCCTTTTATACCACAGATGCCGAAGTACCATAGGTCTGCCCAGATGTGAGCCAAGTGGGAGGGCTGCTTTTGCCTCAGTCTTATCTTTTGCAGGACTCTTTCTTGTTCTGGATTCCACTCAAAACTAGCAATTTTATGCATCACCCTGTCAATGACTCCGAGCAGTATTCCCTAGTGCAGTAAAATGCGGCTTCCTAAACCCAAAGAAGCCTATCAAGCCCTGTGCTTCTTTCTTAGTAGTAGGAGTTGCAAAGAACAAGAACAGACCTTTGCTTTGGTGGGGATGTCTGGGCATGGTCCAGACCACTGGACCTTGAAAAACCACCAAAGGTGGTAGGCTCCTGAAACTCTGCTGGCTTTTCTTTCACCCTCTGGAGTGCATGTGTCTTTCCAAGGCAGCCAGAATACTTGACACTTGTTACCTACAATTAACATCACATCATTAGTATAGTAAACCAATGTTAAGTTCTGTGGAATGTCAAGATGATCTAGGCCCTTTCAGTCTATATAATGACCCTGAGGAAAAGCAGCTTTGAATACGATTTTTGAGAAAAATATTAAAATATTATTTTGAGAAAAAATATATTTACATAATATTTTTCTCTTCCCTTAGTGCTTTTGTCATCTTAAAAGAAAAAGGCTTCAAAGCAAGAAGGGAGGAGACTAGACAAATTAAGTAATGAGAATTCAAATAAACTAGAGGGTTTAATTTGGCATTCTTTAATTGAACTTTGGAAGTTCAACTGTGGTAAGCATTTCTTGATGGATCTCCTATTTTTAATTAGACAAATTTATATTCTGTGCTGGAATGCAATGTTGACACTTTTGACCATTTTGCCAAATACAAGTGCTGCAAAATCATAGACTTCTCAACATTGCATATTTTTCCCCAGTTAAAAATGTAGTGGTCTATAGAGAAGAGTCCATTGAAAGTATCAACATTTTCAAATTTATTAATCATGAATGGAACTTTGAAAGAGATTGCAGGCAATTTTATGGAAAAGTAAAACATAATAGGATCATACTGAAAACATTCTTTAGTAGAACTTTGCTGATGTGGTATTAGAAAAAGATGTGACTAAAGAACTGATTAAAGTACATAAATATGAAACATAAATGATTAGTCATCGTATGTCATTTTTAATATTTGGATAATAAAAATAAAATTATAATTGTTTTAATGCCTAACATATGGTTTTAGACAGAATTTTATGAAAATGATTTTAATATATTATTTAGATTAACTTTTAATAAAATCAATTTGTCAGTCAATAAGTATTTTAAAAATTGTATTATTTTCATTTAATGGCCCTTTTAATTCTCAAAAGTGTCATGATTTAGATAATAAATGTGGGTCACTTAAATGAAATGGAAAGAGAATGGAACAGGAGAAGGTTGAGATGGAGATAAAATTGGACCTGTGGATATGTTGGGTCTGGCATTTCCTCACCACATCTATACAGCAATTATACAAATGCAATTTAAAAATAGGTTAAGAGCTCAGGATGGAGGTATAGGCTAGAAATGCTTATCTACTTGCCATCAGCTTATAAGGAATAGCCAAACATTAGGATTTGCTGGATCAGCACAGAACAGTGCATAGTGTAAAAAGGAAGGGAAAAGTTGGCCAAGTGTGGAGTTCAAGGATGGCCCTTCAGCCTCTAGGGAAAAAGAAATAGGAAAGATTAGGGCAGAGCTCAGATATCTGAGAAACTATGGTCAAATGAAGTTAAGTGAAGGCTCAGATATACAGACATGAAATGTAAGTCCAGAGATGGAGTGGAATCCCAGCACTTAGAACCTGGTCAAGTTGCAGAAGAGGATAACAGCAAGATCAACTTGATGCTGAGTTCTAGCCTTGGGGCTAGGAAAGGAAGGAAGGTGCCATTGTATAAGGAAACAGTTTGGAAATCAGAGAACCAGAACCAGAACAGGGTCTAGCTCCTAGTTCTAGGGTATCAGGCAAGATTTTGATCCTGTCCTTTGAACAATTTTTACATTACACAGCCAGAGGTTCATTACACAATAAGATTTATTATTCTTCCTTTCTGCAGAATCCATGCGATGATAAACGGCACAAAGACATTTGGTCCAGAGAGAAAACTTGTGACCACTTGCCAAAATTCCTTGTCATCGGGCCACAAAAAACAGGTAGGAATAGCCAACTGTGCTGTCTGATTCTTTTTCTTTTTTTTTTCTTTTTTTTTTTCCTTTTTGTCATGAAACATACTGTCATACAGTATAGTTGGATTAGGTCTCACTTTGTGAGATATCTAGATATCCATCCAAGTTCATTATTTGAATTGTTCTTCATCCCTGTGGATCATCTTTATGCTATGATCCTCAAAGGGACCCTAAGGCTGCCTATTAATTAGACTTAAGGACTAAATTTTAACCATAGATTTTAAAGCTGTTCAACAGATGTCCAGTTTTTGACAGCTTTGTGTTAATGTACCACAGTTGCAGTGTCTGATTTTTAATCCCTACTTTTTTGTATCTTTGCCTTAATTATCTCCTAAATTAAGTTATAAAGCAAGCACTTGGCTTGATTTAAACTATTTTGCACTGTATATCAGCCTTGAATTGATTTTTTTCAGAGCTATTGCCATTATTACTTTCAAATATTCCACATGTGTGATTTGTTTTTTAAAAATAATTATTAAGTATAAATATGGTTTGGACTTATTTCCTGATACACCTGAGGTTCATCAGGCATTTTTCCCTTAGTATTTTCTCATATGCTGAAGGACAAGTGTATAAGACTGCAGTAAAAGGAGTGAAAGTATTTCACCAATGAGATGACACTTTCAATTAGAATATTTTATACTTTCTTCAGCATATGACAGTTTTATACACTTTGCTCATGTTCTGATTAATTAAAGTTTTTATTGAGTTGCTGTATTTTGAATTCACTACTTTGACCAGAAGCATTTTCATCAGTGAGTGCACAAACCATAACACAAAACAAACAGTCACAATAAATAAGCCTGGCCCAGATGAAGATATTTGTAATACAAGCAAGTAGATCATTTTAAATGTTGTGGGCAAAATTTCCAGACTATTAGATATTGGTTGTTGAAATCTTTTCTTCCTTCAGGAATATAAATTGTATTACAACAGTAAGTTACACATGTGCAGGGAGGGGAAAAAAATCAGCACGTATTTTCAGATATATCACTTGTGTTGTTGTTGTTTAAAATGTGCATTAATCTTCTACCAACTCTCTTATAGCAGTGCTAACTCTGGAAAGACTACTAAAGAAAGAAAACATTCTTGTGTTGTAAAATTATGCTAAAAATTTAATTTAAAGTCATATCTTTTATCATTTGTCATTGAATATTATTACTTCTTAGTTCTGCTAGAAAACTACAGGTTAGTAAGTATAAATCTAGTTTTCCTCCTTGTTGTTTGTATTTATAAAGGCAATAACTTACACCTTTAGATTTTAATATTTGACCTACCAGTATGGAAATAACCGAGTTTTCAGCGGCTTTTGGCATCCCCAAGGCAAACAAACAAACAAACAAGTTAAAATAAAGGAATTGGATGATAATAATATTTTATATGCTGTGCAAATGCTATTCTAATGTGAAAACGGTTGTGATAATTCTTAAAATCTGTTCAATCATAGAAGTCTAAAGTCTTCTTTTGTTCTCCTTATTGCTTTAGTTGGCAAAATTCCCACTGCTGTCAGAGCTGTAAATTTCCTGGACACAGCAATTGCTAAGAATCTGGTCTTCAAAGCGAAGTTGTCTTTAAACAACTTAAACATGGCCTACACATCCTTTGCAATAAACATGAGATATAAAAGTAGTCCTCAAAGCCCTATTTTCTCAATTGTTGTGAGGTGCGAATGGAAGGAACCGCTGTCCCACTTGTCCGTTGCTGAATCCTGGAAGGAATTCCTGTCAGCTGATAGTGGGGCAGTGAATGAGGCCAGGCAGAGAGCAGGGTAGGCCTGGGTTTATGGCACTCAAAGCTTAAATCTAAGTCCTACTAGGATCCTTAGGACAGGTAGGCATCTTTCATGATTCCAGGTCAAATTTTGATATTACCAGGTTAGGAGGGGATTTCCAAAAGGGTTAAATTTAGCACAATAATTCTTTTTTTTTTTTTTAAGATTTTATCTATTTATTTGAGAGAGAGAGAGAGTGCAAGCGGGGAGAGGGGCGGAGGGTGAGGGAGAGAGAGAAGCAGACTCCCCACTGAGCTCGATCCCAGGACCCCAGATCAGGACCTGAGCTGAAGGCAGACGATTCACTGACTGAGCCACCCAGGCACCCCTAGCACAATAATACTAAAAGCATAACTTGTTGGCCTTACCTCTCTCAGAAAATCAGTGTCCCCATTGTCAATATTATTTTCTCATGATTTGATTGGCTTACTCTGGTAAAACTAAAAACAAGATTGTATATAAGATAGAATGCAGTTTCTCTGAGAGTACTGTCAGGGATGAGGTCTTTTTTACTTCTTCCACAAAATATTTATATCAAAGGCATTGGATAAAAACAAATGTCAGGGGCGCCTGGGTGGCTCAGATGGTTGAGTGTCTGCCTTCGGCTCAGGTCATGATCCCAGGGTCCTGGGATCAAGCCCCGCATCGGGCTCCCTGCTCCTTGGGAGGCTGCTTCTCCCTCTGCCTCTCTCTCTCTCTCTGTCTCTCATGAATAAATAAATAAAATCTTTAAAAAAAAAAAAAAACAAATGTCAGTAATAGATGAAAATACGGTGCTAATAAAATAAATACACATTTTTGGGCAGTGGGCCCAGGTTCTATGACTGATTATATGAATGTCAAGCCACATACCTACTGTCCCCAATTGAAAGGGCTTTCTCCTTCCTTCCTGTCCTTTCTCCTTCCTCCTCCTCCTCGAAGTCCCTCCTGCTCTCGGTGGTATGAAGGTGCTGTGCCTTTGACTTTATGTAACCCTGGGGAGATCTGGTATAAATCTGTGACCATCAGGGTGATTAAACATGTGTACGTGCTACTGAGTGAGATTATAAAGTATTTATTTTGCGATATGCAGCAATAATTCAAAAATATTCCTTTATCTGTACCCTGGATCCATCCAGTCTCAACATCTCAGGGATATTAAACTATCAATATTCTCAGCTCTCTTGTGTGTCTCAAATCTCGCTCTCTCGCTCTCTCTCTCTTTCTCACGCATGTGCACACATGCACACACACACACCATTCCCATCATCAGTTAAACATTTTTATGTAGGTCCCATCCTAGAAGGTATATAGAAAGAACCCTTCTGAATTCCCTGCTCCCTTCCAAATACTACTATACAGTACTCTAATTTATTTCTTCTCCCTGGAACATTTTCTTTTTTAAGATTTTATTTATTTATTTGACAGACAGAGACACACAGCGAGAGACGGAACACAAGCAGGGGGCTGGGAGAGGGAGAAGCGGGCTTCCCGCCCAGCAGGGAGCCCAATGCGGGGCTCGATCCCAGGACCCCGGGATCATGACCTGAGCCGAAGGCAGACGCTTAATGACTGAGCCACCCAGGCACCCCTCCCTGGAACATTTTTGTTCCTCCTCTCATAGTTTTTCCTTTTTGAACTGTTATTTTCAGGAGCATTTCAGATCAGTTCTTGAGGACTCCATTGCCCCTCATAATTTTATGTCTGTGTTTTTCAGTGTGTCTGAGACAGTTCTGCCTGGTCCTTTGGGCCTCTAATTCAGTTCCTAACTAGTTCTGACTCCTTTAATTTTTAAATTGAGTTTATATGATTTGATTCCATTTTTGCTAATTTTTATTTTATCTTTTTTAAGATTCTATTTATTTATTTGAGAGAGAGAGAGAGAACACAAACAAGGTGAGGGGCAGAGGGAGAAGCAGCCTCCCTGCTGAGCAGAGAGCCCGATGTGGGGCTCGATCCTAGTACTCCCGGATCATGACCTGAGCCGAAGGCAGATGCTTAACCTACTGAGCCACCCAGGCGCCCCTATTTTTGTTAATTTTTAAAAGTTGTTTTGGGGCGCCTGGGTGGCTCAGTCGGTTAAGTGTCTGACTCTTGGTTTTGGCTCAGGTCATGATCTCAGGGTCCTGAGATGGAGCCCTAGGTGGGCTCTGCACTCAGGATGGGAATCTGCTTGAGATTCTCTCTCTCTCCCTGTTCCTCTGCCCCTAACCCTGTGCTCACTTGTGCTCTCTCTCTAAAATAAATAAATAAATCTTAAAAAAAATAAAAATAATTAAAAGTTGCTTTTAATTAGTAATTAAATTTCTAAGGGCATTTATTAATTTTTACCCTCCCGTTTCACTAGGAGCCACCTATTCTGTATTCCTTTCACCTTTCTTCTGTCCAAGGTGTTGGTCCCCTTAGATCTGTTATCACTTTCCTTTAACTACTCATGCCCCTACTCAGTCTTGGTGGTCACGTAAAGCTGTGAAGATCCAATCAGGTGGTCATCTCATTAATACTTAAAGCACAGTAGCCTTTGCTCCTATGAGCTTAAGATACGTTGGAATAAAATGCCAATTCTCTGATGATCTGCTCGGCTTCCAGATCCCTAGCTGCAATTGTAACTGTCCTACCAGCCCACCTGTGTAGCTCATCTCCAACTCTGCTAGGGCTAGGAAATCCAACTAACCCTCCTGGGTCCAATGTGTTACAAAAGGGATCTTTTCCAGAAGGGAAATTTTGATTCACGAGAACTATGAAAACCCAGTCACTCCATGATTCTTTCTGCCGTGGCCCTCAGTCTCTGGCCCAACTCAAACAGAAACAAGGGTCAGAGATTACATCTGAGCTTTCTGTGATGTGTACGCTCTGTGGGTTCTATCAGCCAGTCTGTCCAGCCTAGTGCTTCAGTTTATCAGATCAGATTGCCTCATTTAGCCAGGTAGGACATTCAAGTGGTCATCTTTCCAGATTCCTGCCCTCCTCTTTCAACCTTACTGGGAACACTTAAATTTTTAAGGTACAAGCTGAGAAAATGCTTCCTTTTGGAAGCTTTCGCTGACTTCTCAAGTCTAAGTCACCCATTCTCTCATGTGTTAGAAAAGCACTCTGGTCTTCTCTCACTATGGAAACTGTCTCACTATGTTGCAATTACCTGTTTACTTGACCCAAGTCCACACATACACTTTAAGATGATCAAGGCCAGGGAAGAGTTCTTCTCAAGAGTTCTCACCAGGGAAAAAAAAAAAAAAATTATCACCAGGGACTCACATAGAGTAGCACCAGTCAGCATGTGTTGAATAGTTTGATTTAATTTAATTGATTTGAATATAATATTGAGATCTACCAGGTTCAGGTATAGTGCTGGATGCCCTTGATGCTTTAGCCACTCACCTGACTCCCAGAGGGAAATTGAACCACCAGTTTCTGAAGTTCTCTCCCAGCTTAAAGCACAGTATCATCCCCTTCAGATGCCCAGTTTTGTCTTACCTTTGTACAACCACCTATGTGTTTTTTGCATTTTTTGTATGTTATACATCTCCTGTGGTATCTTATTTCATATTTTTCTTCAAATAAACTGATTTTTACCTCAAATAAAATAATTTAAAGCAGAAACTCTGTGTCACCCTATAAACAGGAGAATAGGTATTGCATATCAAACAGAAAAAAATGTAAAAAAAAAAAAATCAGAGAGGAAAAGAGCTGTATCATCAGTCTGCTTCACTTTGCCTATGTACTAATATTAAATCAGATGTTTAGGTAAATGGAATCATGAAGACTAACAAAAGAAAACTTAGATTGTTGCCACATGAAATGCACCTAATTGATTTTAAGGAAATCATTTTTTTAAAGGTTTTACTTATTTGAGACACTGAGAGAGAGAGAGAATGAGAGCATGAGCAGGAGGACTGGGGGGGGAAGGATAGAGGCAGAGGAAGAAGCAGACTCCCCGCTGAGCAGGGAGCCCTACATGGGGCTGGATCCCAGGACCCTGGGATCATGACCTGAGCCGAAGGCAGACGCTTAACCGACAGAGCCACCCAGGAGTCCCTTAAGGAAATCATTTTAATACCAGAAAATTTGGTCTTCTGGATATTACTTTTTGAGCAAAAATTTTGCTAAAATAGTATTTGTCTCTTCTTTTGTTGCCATATATAACCCTTTGCCTCCTTTTTTGCTATAGGAACAACTGCACTTTATTTATTCCTTCTTATGCACCCTTCCATCATCAGCAATCTTCCCAGTCCCAAAACATTTGAAGAAGTTCAATTCTTTAATGGCAACAACTACCACAAGGGAATCGATTGGTAAGGAAAATAACGAAAAATAAAGACCATTATTAACACATGCTCAATCACAGCAGAGCGATTATAGATGTATGTGTGGCATCTACATAATTACAGCATAAATTTGTTATGCTCAATTCTACCATAGTGAATTAGAAATTAATTTATAACAATGATATGTTTAATCAGTGTTGCCTATAATTTGATTTGGACAGTGCAATAATGATAATATTTTTCTGGTAAATTAATATGATTGAATAAAGAAGATTATGGAATTTTTTTCAGAATTATTCATAAGGAAATTTAAAATTCTGCTTAAGCATATTATTATTTTACTGCGCCTAGAATTTTTTTTTAACTACATAATTAGTCTTCACAAATGATTCTTGAGGAAACAAATAAATAAGTTATTTTATACTCTGTGACATGTATCTTCATTAACCACATAGACTATAAAATGTTGTATAAGATAAGCTGATATTTGTCATGCAAATAATAACATAGCATTTCCAAAACCGTATTAATGCCAGCCGTGCACATGCATAAAAGGAATACTACTTTGCATTTAATAAATTATGAAAAATTTTAAAATCACAATATTTTCCCTAAACTGAAATAGAATAAACCTGATATTAGAACTGGTCTTTACTCTGGGGCTTTTTTCTAGCTTTATTCCAATTTTCTAAGAAACTATCACACTGATTCCAACTTCCAGTTATATAAGGCAAATCTCCTCCAGGGAAAATTCCCCTAAATGCATAACTCTGCAGTGTGTAACTTTATGTCAACACCACATATGAGCCTGTCCTCAACAAGAGGCCTGTTCTGTTTAGACCCAGCTAGGGCTAGAGTAGGGGAGGGGCAATGCCGGTAAGCAGATCTGGCTTCCTATCACGGGTAGAGATGTGCCCACTCTGCATCTAAGATATGACTATTCTACCTTACTTTAAAAAGACTAAATGAATTTTGGAAGTGCATGCAAGTTACTAAAAGCAGAACAGCAATTTTTTCTTATCTCTGAGCTCAAATGGAACACAAATTGTTAAGCAGGAATATAGATGAGGCTTTTCACCACTTCACATTTGGGAAACATAATAACAAATGTCAAAGAGGAAAATAAGTGTCTTATATGAATTCTTAATTGCTCTCATTATTTATTTCTAGAACATTTGAGGGTTAGAGAAGTGATGAGCTGTAAGGAGGATTACACACATAATTAAAGCCTTGCACTGAGTTAACCTCCGAACATATTGATTCCATAATCTACACACAGAGGAATGTTCCGACAGCATATGGAGGAGTGAACCTACCAAGGCACCACAGGATCAACTGGCAGGAAATATCCTCTTAATGACTCTAGATAGACTATAATGTGTTCACATTGCTACACATACAACAAATTATGCAGAAGCTAAAAAGGAGGAGAGCAGCTATGCCCTACTCTGCTTAGGATTTTATAGCTCTTCTGACTTACATCCTCCTCTCTTGTGCACTTTCATCTCAAATTAAAAATTTTGCATTCAAGTTTGCAAACAAGAATTTACTATTTTAAAATATTTACTAGGCAATACTTTGTAATTTGCTTTTTGCCAAGGGTAAACTTAATTTTTCTGGATTTGGCTTATGATAGCAGAGATCATCATCTGAAATCTAAAAGATTTTCCCTCTGTTCTTAACAATCCACCTATTTCATCTCCCTTTCCCCTGCCCTACATAGTTCATTAAAACAGTAATACTTCAGATTGTCTTACTGCCAAAATATATAGCATAGCCATGATTTCAACTATTATGACACTAATAAGTAGACATCAATATAAATGAATGTAAAAATGTTCAAATATTTAATAGCCATAGCATGTTGAAGAAAAACTTAAATCTCTGATTGTTTTTCTCTGCCTTCAGGTATATGGACTTTTTTCCTACTCCATCCAACATTACAAGTGACTTTCTATTTGAAAAGAGTGCTAATTACTTCCATTCAGAAGAAGCTCCCAAGCGAGCTGCATCTCTGGTCCCCAAAGCCAAGATCATCACCATCCTCATTGACCCCTCAGACCGGGCATACTCTTGGTACCAGGTATGAAGCAGTAAAAAATACTTTTAAAAACATTTGGCCATAGCTTAAATGTAAGCAATGGTAAATACCAAAATAAAGTCTAGATGTCCAGATGTATTCAACAGTCAAATGTTACAGAGCTAACGCCCTCCAAAAAAAAGAAAGGAAAAGAAAAGAAATTACAAGTGATAAAAGCTGAATATTTGATTCGTGTGAAGTTGGGCAAGGAATTTCAAGCATAAAGTAATAGAAAACATCAGACATAAAAGATTAATAGATTGAATAGACAGTATAATGTAAAATATTAGTCTGTCAGAATTAAAATAAAAGTACATATCTAAGTAGAGCATCTTTAATAATACATGGTAAATGGTTTAGTACCCTTAATTTGTAAAAAAAAAAAAAAGTTTCTGTAAATTGGTAAAAATAAAAAAATATAATATCTCAGTAGAAAAATGAGCAAATGAACAAAACACATAGATAGACATTTCACATGCACAAAGACACCCACAAATGTAACTGCTCAGCAATTTATATGAACAATGATCAACCTAATTAGGAAGCCACAAAATATAAATCAAAATGATATTCTTTTTGAATATCATTTGACAAAAATTGTAATGTTTATTCTCCTTGCTGGCAAGGGCGTGATGGTAAAGATATTCAAATGTTGCAATATAGATGGAGATCTTTTCTGAAGACGAATTTGGCAATAATTATCAAAATAGTTTTGTAAGGGTCCTGTTGTGCTATGGATCCTCTTCTGGAATCAGTCAGAAACTTCAAAGGGATGGACAAATATTTATCCCTTTATACATCCCAGTACTAGTCAAAAAATGTGGGGTAGAAGGAGAGTCGGGGAGAGGGAAAAGTATATGCGGTCCCCTGGGTGCAAGGAACCTTAGCACATTTACAGAACTAAGGAAACTTCCATGTGGCTAGAGAGCAAAACCTGAGGTGACCTGTGGGAGATCAGTCTGAGACGTACACAGGGGACAGAACTCAGGAGGGGGAACCATGTGGCTGCCATTCTCCAAGCAACTGAAAGCCTTTGAAGAGTTAAGCCAGTGTGTGACTACCAGATTTCCTTTTAGAGGCAGGTAAGAAATAGAGGCAGCATTGACAGTGAGAGTGAGAACAGACTGAGTGAAGTATAAAGTATCAAGGGACATGTAGGGATTAAAACCAACAGGACCTGGCGAGGAAACACTGTCAAGGATGAACCAAATTTCCGATGTGGACAACTGGATGACAAGTATAGATTCCCATAAAAATAGAAGCACTGAAGAAGGAAACAGGACTGGTTGGGGGGAGGGGTGCTAAAGATGTGACACAGGTGGTAACCATGAGGTCCGGAATCACTGTCATACGGAGACGAACAGTAGAGTCAGCAGGCACTCTGGGGAGAGGTCGGAGCTGGAGACAGAAATGTGTGAGTCAGAGGCAAAAAGCCACAAACATGGGGAGACTGCCTAAGGAGAGAGTTTAGAGAAACAAAGTATAGAGAACAATGAGGCAGCCAGGGAGACAAGAGAACACAGCCAGAGGAGTAGAAGAAAATCCAGGAGTGTGATGACACTGAATACAAGTGGACCGAGTACTACCAAATGGAGGAGGTGACAAGTGTCAAAGGGCTGCTAAGAAATTAGACAGTTGGACCAAACAAGGCCTGCATTATTTTCACTGAGTTGAAAGACATTGAGAGAAGTGGAACCTTTAGTGAGACAATGAAAAGAGCAAAACCAGATGGATTTGGTGGAGGAGAAACTAAGTGGGAAGAAGAAAAAAAAAAAATGTGAGATTTCAAAGGGGAAAAACAAGACACAGGCTTGTTACAGAGAAGTTAAAGTGGGTTCAAGGAAACTGTGCTCTATGGTGGTAGTGATTTGAATCATGAGATGTTTCCCAAAAAAAAGGAGAGATGTTTAAGGCCCAGGAGAGAAATTTGGGTATCAGTCCCATGAGGATCCTGAGGAGCTAGGAAGAGATGACTATAGGAAATAACTTAGATGGGAGGGAAGCATCCATTTCCAGACTTCACTCTTCTGGTGCAGGGAGCCTCCTGGCAAGCTGCTGGAGTCTATGGGTCCCATTTCAGAAACACGTTTGAAAAGCATAAAACTACGTAGAATTACAAAGAAACAACTTTTTAAAAATATAATTATCAAAGTAATTTTTAAATCAGTAAAAAATCTTTATTTATTTAAGAATTAAATGGCCAGGGGGCGCCTGGGTGGCTCAGTTGGTTAAGCGGCTGCCTTCAGCTCAGGTCATGATCCCGGAGTCCCGGGATCGAGTCCCGCATCGGGCTCCCTGCTCGGCAGGGAATCTGCTTCTCCCTCTGACCCTCCTCCCTCTCATGCTCTCTGTCTCTCATTCTCTCTCTCTCAAATAAATAAATAAAATCTTTAAAAAAAATTAAAATTAAAATTAAAATTAAAAAAAAAAAAGAATTAAATGGCCAGATCTAATGGTGGGACCAATACTGCTGTAATGTTGAAGCAGGATTGAGCATGAACAGCATTTTGATATATCTGAAACACCTGTATTGTGATACAAAAAGAGCTGATTTTTACTGGTATAATACATGCAAAATTTCATTTAAAAGTTACTGAAAATAAAAAGACTATTTTTTTGTTGTTGTTCAGATCCAAATTGATAGACCCTCTGAATTATATCAGTAGGGCTCTGGTTAAGAATCCTTCCATTAAAACTTAATCTGAAGGTCTGAGATAGAGAAATTGAAGTGATTCCAATGGTCTCTCCTTCCTTTGGAAAGTTGAGAATGAGTTAATCTGATGAAAAAGAGGGGGATAATTTGGGCAATGGCAGTTTGAGGAGAGAAAAAAGGCAGTGTGAAATCTTTGTACAGGGGTGAGATAAAGTTGACCACAAAAATGTAAAATTGCCTACAGCAGTAAAAGCCTAATTAAAGGTTATCCTGAATTTGTGGTGGTAATAATGTACATGTACTAAAATCCCATGATATGAGTGCATTTGTGTATGTGTATGTTTAATGCACATATAAATTAATGCCCAAAAAAAAGGACTAAAAGGGAATTTTTAAAGAGCATACGAGAAATTTTTATTTTTTATTACTTTTTTTCATTTATTTTTTACCCATTCTTTATTTTTTTATTCATACTTTTTCTTGACTTTCTTCAATAAACATTTATGGCCAAGAACAAATAATAATGGACAGAAAAATGTGACCCTGTACATTGGGATTACAAGAGGTCAGGGATCCTAGGAGAACACCCGGATTGGGAGTAAGATCCAAGTGTTATTAGAATCCATGAGTCACTGTCTCCCTCAAGATAGAAAAATGTGCCTTTCTCACTTTATGAAAATTCATATTGCAAAGCAACATAAATTTACTTTAAAAAAAAAGTAACAAAAGCATTGAAATATTAAGCCTTCATTAAAAATGTTGAATATAAGTACTTGGGGTCAAATGTTGCACATTTCCTAGCAGAAAACATAGAACAAATTTATATGAATCTTTTCTCACATAGATTAAACTATTTAAATAAAAGAGAATCTGTGCCTGCTTCTTCAAGTAAACTCTTTGAACATACATGTTTGAAAGGAATTATTTTTCCTGATATTTTTATTGCCATATTGCTAAGAGTAGGGTCCCCAAACTGCTCCACATTTCAAAATAATACAGCCTATTACTTAGCTAGGCCTGTCTATTCAGTAAATACCATAAATCCAAAGCTCAGCAGGTATAATTCAGAAACTCCTACAAATGTCACCTGCCACTATAATTTCTATCCCACATTTTTAAAATGGGCCTCACAAAGAAGCTATAGTGCTATTTTTTCCATAAAATATGTCCCTTTGTGACTTCTGGTCATATTTTTATGCTAATCTTCTACTTGCAGGAATATAAAGAAAAGTTGGTGTTAAACTTTTATAAATCAATGTAGAGAAGATTAAGTACAGTTCCATATTATCACTGCTTAAAATAGAAATTTTAGCATTAACATATTAATATGCACATAGTATTTTTAGATTCCTTTATTCAAGTTATGTAGTTTCTACACATAGTATTAATTCAATGTATTATGTAGTCTCTATGTACTCAGCATAATGCATATACATATAAGAATGTCAATAAATATAAAATAATGAGAGGCCTTCAAAAGTTTTATTCCACCAATCTACCACTCACTGGTTACTGTTTAACCACTTCTTACTCATCTTTACTTTTTTCATTTTTCTAACTCACATAGATGAACTGCGGTTACACAATTACATCAAGTCCTAATACACTCCCATCCTCATCCTGTAGTTAATTTTCTTTATGTTAAACTTTTAGATATCTTGCAAAATCAATTCATCCATTCCCACAATTCACACACTTTCACTCAAACTTAAGAGATCAATTTCTCTTAGTTTCTATGTTTATTTTTTTGACTTATAAAAATCTCTGTTATTACATTTTAGCTCAAAATTTTCAACCACTTAAAAAGATCCTATCATCGGGTGCCTGGGTGGCTCAGTCGTTAAGCGTCTGCCTTCGGCTCAGGTCATGATCCCGGAGTCCAGGGATCGAGTCCCACGTCGGGCTCCCTGCTCGGCGGGAAGCCTGCTTCTCCCTCTCCCACACCCCCTGCTTGTGTTCCTGCTCTCGCTCTCTCTCTCTCTGTCAAATAAATAAAATATTTTTAAAAAAAAAAAGATCCTATCATCTTTCATTCAGAATTGATCACCTATTGGTCTGGCTACCAAAGCAATATATATGACTCTAGTCAAATAATCTGACTTTATTATAGTCTGTTAATCTATTGCCTCCCATAGAAAATTTTTATTTCTTTGAAGATAGAGATTACATTTTGCTTGTATCTTTCTATCTCCAGAATCTATAGCAGTTTTTTGTTCTGGTAAGGAGCTTAGTGAATGCTTATGAAATTGTATTGACTGCAAAATCTCTTATTGTATTGGGCTCTTGAGCTTGACTATTGATGGTTTGGTATGAAAGACTCAGAGATTTGGTACTGAAAAGTAGTAGTGGATCAGTACTAGTAAATTAGCACAGATAGATGGAAATTCTTGGGAGAGCAAAAGGAAAGGACTTTGGGCAACACCAACATCTTTATGACACCTAAACAAGTATTAGGAATACACATCCACTTTCTCTATGCTCATAGCCTCTGCCACAGAGGGATATTGGGGAAATGTCAGAACCTGTAGGAATAACTATGATGAGACAATGAGCAGAGTAATATATGAATCTGCTCTTGCCAATCTAAATCTCTTTTCACTGGGCTTGATTTGTCTAGTCCCCAATATCTATTCACTTTTAATCAGACCCATGAAGAAAATCCTGTACTCTGTCTCTCGCCTTGTATGTAAACGCAAAGTCAACCACAGGCTTATGTGCATACCACTTGATATACATGGAAGGCTTGTACTTTAAATAAGCAATATGCCATTGCCTGGCTTTTAATATATGCACTCTTTATTTTTTCATTCTAAAATTAATTTATCATTTTCATTACTTTTTGGAAATAAAAGACACACCCACGTACATACATCAAACACAAACATGCACACATACCGTGCATGCATAAAGAACACCAAATTTACAATTGACTTTCTTGTTAAAGCACCAACGATCACATGAAGATCCAGCTGCCCTGAGGTTTAATTTCTATGAAGTTATCACAACCGGACATTGGGCCCCATCTGACCTAAAAACTTTACAAAGGAAATGCCTAGTACCTGGATGGTATGCAGTCCACATAGAAAGATGGCTAACTTACTTTGCTACTTCTCAGGTAAGGTCCTAAAATTAATTTCTTCTGTTTAATATACCTTGGCTGTATTGCACTTGACAAACAGAAAATAAGAAATAACATTGCCACAGACAATTCATAATAAGACAATCATACCTAAAGAAGATATGTGGATTTTTTACATTTTTAATGTCAATAATAATGTTAAAATGTTAAGTGGCTGTAAAACATATTCTTGGGATCTTCTTTTGGGTAGTAGCTGGTCCCAGAGTGCTGAGTCCTCACACGGGAGACACCATGTGATCCATAAGTAGTAACTCAACTACTCATAGAACAGCCATTTAGACAATACCTTTATGGAACACCACATGCAGATAGTCTGACATCTGTCCTCTAGGGCTCTTAGAGAGGAAGAGGTCACACATTAGACTGTCAAAATGGAAAATGATGTAACAGCTCCAGGAGTGTGGGATAGAACAAGAGGTAAGGATTTGAGGAAACATTCATACTATTTATATTCTTTACTCCAGATCAGGTCATGATTAAAACCTGAGTTCTTTGTCATGGTTTATAAGGAAAATAGATAAGTAATTTTCATCTGAATGCCATTTCTAAGTCTTTGGCTCCAAGGTTAGCTCATGGGATTCCATAGGCTGGATAATTATCTGATTACATGACAGATGGAAAATTGAGTTTCTCCTGAACTACTAAATCAAGAGAGTTTCTGTGTTTATTTCTGATTTACAATCAAGTTAGTTAAGGGTTATAAACAATGCCAATGGCAAACTTCAATTGTTGTTTATTTGGAAGGACACAATAGTAAACATTAAAATGTATCCTAAGTAATGCATATTTTCTTCCTATTCACACTGACCTAACTGATTAATGTCATACCAGATCAAGTGAGGCAGTTCAGTCTATTTAATTTAGTCTTGTTCTTCACAAAGTGACTATTTTTGACTTTATAGTTGCTAATTATTGATGGACAGCAGCTGAGATCTGACCCAGCTACTGTGATGGATGAAGTCCAGAAGTTTCTGGGAGTTACACCTCATTATAATTATTCTGAAGCACTAACGTGAGTCTATTCTCATGCTTGATTACATTTCCATTATTTGCCATCATAAATTATCACTGGTAGGTGTGTATATAGCATCATTAATACTAGCTATGAATTTATACATCATTATGCTACTCAAAAGCAGTCAAAGGAGTATCCTTATTATTCATGTAGAGTCTTCCTTTAGAATACCACAGATACTTTATTTTGCAAAGTGTTATCCTATAGGCATTTTATATATCACAAACTCCCTTCTTGGTGGGCTTTTTCCCAATATAAGTTTGGTTAAGTAAATTTTTTAGACACCTACTCTGCAAAAATTGTCCTAGAAATTGAAGTTACAAAGGTGAAAAAAATTTGGGAAGACCCCAAGTAATTCACAGGTTAGAAATGAAGTGCTGATGACCATCATTAATTCTGTGAAAGTGACCAGTATTTGGGGTAGAATTGGAAAAAGGATAAATTCATATTACTTTGTATTTATTAAATTATGTCTAACCAAATGTAATCACATGCAATGTTCCAGTTATTTATTGTTGCATGACAGACCATCCCCAAACCCATCAGCATATTACCACAGCCATTTTATTATGCTGATAAATTCTGGGGGCTGGGAATTCAGACAAGACACAGCCGTAACAGCTTGCCTCTGCTCATAAAACCTGGGGACACAAGGGGGGAAATGTGACTATCTGGGTATGAATCAAATGTCTGGGGACTGGAATCTTCTGGAGGCTTCTTCACTTCTTCACTCATATCTCTGGCTTTTAGACTGAGATGGCCCAAAGGCTAAGCTCAATGGGATGAGACCTCTTTGTGTGGCTTTTCGACCGTGTAGTGGCTGTGTTCTGAGAGGGAGTGATATGTTAAGGAGGTGTGATCCAGCACAGCCATAGCGTTCTCTGACCTAGTCTTGCAAGTCGCACAGCATCCTTTTCACTTCACCTCATTTTATTGGTTACAACCAAGTCACTAAAGCCAATACAAATCCATAGTGAGGGCAATGGACCTCCCCCTCTTGATGGGGAGGGGCAAGAGCATTCTGCAGAAAAGAATATGGGAGGGGAGATATTGTTGCAATCATCTTAGAAAAATAAAACCATATACTTGGGTAACTAAAGATGGGGGGGAAGGTAAAGAAGCACAATAAACAATCAAAACCTCCAAGGAGCCAAAACATATTTTAAAAGGGCATGTACTTGACTCCCTCACAAGGCTTGATACAAAGCCTATTAAATTTTAGACAAAATTCTAACAAGCCTGATTATATAATTTCCCAGGTCACAGCAGATTAGAATTAGCAATTAGACAATTAGAGAGGGTAATGGAAGGACAGGAAAAGCAGTAATAAGATTGGGTTGTTCCTGATCCACTCAAACAACCCTAATGAAGTTTTTACCTACACATGGAAATAACAATACAAGGCATGCCCCTGTTGATTAAGTAGACAAAGCTTCCTAGAATACGTTTTACATTAATAGTTATTGATGTTAGCATGTCTTTCCCTGCCTCCCTGTGGTAGTTTAAGGAATGGTTCTATCTTGTTTACTACAAATAGTTGCTTATGGTTCAGTAAACCTGTAAAATCATACTTTTCAAGAAGAGATTACAAACAAGTACCAAATATATGGTTTTTAATATGTCTCACATCACAAAAATTAATAACTGTAGTGATGTTCAATGTAATAAAAGAAGTCGTGTGGCAACCAATTCGTTGTTGTCTCAAAGTTGTCCAATAGTTATTTGAGAAAGGCTTTGCATCTTCATTTCACAATTTCATGCCTACTAAAATAAAACCATAACAATGAATTCATATAACTTATAAAAAGTAAATGCCCTCTGTTAGAGTATATAACATCAATGCAATAAATGAAACCAGGACAGCAAAATAATGTGGAGTCAAAGCTATGACAGCCCTATCTAAAAGCCCTATCTGACTTTCAATATGGCCCTTCTTCCTCAAGTTGTATTACGGTCTGCCTCACAACAGCTGCTGTGGAAACAAGGAGAGACTGCAGCCCATCCTGGGATCTCCACACACCTGAGAGGAAAAGAGATGCTCTCAGCATGGGTATAAATATCTTGGCTTTGTTGCCAGAACTGTATTTTACCTTAATGCAGTTAAATATTCTCATCCTAAGGCAGAAAATGCTGTTTAGGGGCACAGTTATGCCGACTTCCCCATCTCATTTTGCAGAGCATGCTGAATTGTTTTTCCTCTTGGGAAATTAATGAAAACTAGAGAAAGGACCGTGATAGACAAGGAGTAGATTGAAAAGTCCAGGTTGGAAATGACTTTGTCTTCCTTTTATCCATTTAACCAGTGATGTATTTAATTTTAATTGATAACATGTACTAGGACAACCTGGACTGCAAGGATCAGGTCTCTAAAAATAGGTTGGGCAGGGAACTGTGAAGAAAAGTTCCCTCTCCCTCCTAAATGAGTTCACATATGTGCAGAGGCAAATTGCAGGTGCACGTATTATAGGAATGGGCCCAGGGCAACAAAATATTCTGCAACTAATTAACTTTACATCCCCGTCAATTATGCTTCATCCTTCTAAAACATCTGCTGAGCAACAAAATGCAAACCTTTTCGATGTTTTATGCATGCAGCAAGTCCCATAGCAATAAATTTAAAATTTCTCTTCTTATTTGAGTTATTCTTCCATTTTTCCTATCTTGTTAGTCCTAAACAAAAGTTCTTATATATCTGAGTTTAAATAATTAGGCCACACATCCTTTCTTTTTTAACTTTGTGCAGCCATAGGAGCAAAACATTAGAATTTTCTTTAAGAGTATAGGGACCTGAATTATCCCATAGGATCATTTGCCTTCAACAAAAGAAATGAAGAGTTGTCTAATCTTCCATTCACCACTTGCATGGCCTGTGCCTCATGTTGTTTGAAAAAAATATAATAAATTCTATTTTTAAAATTTTAATTTCCTCCTTAAAAAGTGTAAACATTTTGAACTTGAAAAACTATAGTATTCTTCCAAATTAGAAGCTTTAATTCATGTTTACATTCACAAAAGTATACTTACATTACATTCAGTCACTTTAATGTATACCATTGAATGATTTCAAAGAAATCTGTTAACATATTTTGACAGGGAAATCATATTAATAAGTAAATAAATATCTTAAAAGTCCTGTGTATATGGGTTGCAGTTTTGATGATCGGTCCTTGATCTTTTATAGATGAATAGGTAAAATATGAAATTTAAGTTAATAATTTCAGTCTAAGATTGGATTAAAGATTTTCAGGTCTTTTTTCATTCAGTAGAAATATTAAAAAATATATAATAACATAAAGCTTATTTAATCTCAATTAGACTTTTAAATCAATTCATTGAATATTTGTAGAACTGAACTAAATTAAATTGAAACAATGGGCATACCAAAGTGCATTTCCTTATCCAACTGGTGAGGCTCTCTCACTTAAAATTCTGTATACAATTTATGATCATTATATTTTTATAATCATGTATATGTTTGATCTTTTGTAGGTTTGATCCCCAAAAGGGCTTTTGGTGTCAACTACTGGAAGGAGGAAAGACCAAATGTCTTGGAAAGAGCAAAGGCCGAAAATATCCATCCATGGATCCAGAGGTAATATTTTCCTAATCTTTGAAACACTCTGGTAAAATTTCGTGCATACAACTCGGTGTTTCAAAATAAGGGACATTGTGTTTGCTTCCTTTTCTTCTCTTTCTTTGCTATCAATGTTTTATATATTTAGAAAATAGGCTCACAGAGATCAATAATTGATAGATATTCATAGGAATTGTTTGCCTTTAGGATGCAGTTGAAACATAAATACCTACTGAAGAGTAACTATTTTCCAAATGTGTAAAGTGCTTAAGTGAATTGTTTACTAAACAAGTAATTTTGGATAAAATACATAGACATTATTATCATATATTAAATATGCGTATGCTATGCCTGTACCACGCATGGGTACTGAGGTGAGCAATGGAAAGCCAACATGTGGGTGGGGAAGTTTCTCCACACCACCAATCAGTGCTCAGACACCAGCTAGGTATCCAACAATTCAACTCCGTTCTGACAATATCTACCCTGAGATAGCATTAGATTTTTTTTTTTTTCCAGGAGGTCAGGAAATATTTTATTGACAACTAGGGACGTGGCCATAAGAGAGGGAAGCACACAGGACTGCAAACTAAAACCCAACAGGCAGCAAGGGCCCTTTGGGCCAGGAACCCTGAGTCCTGGCATCCTCACGGTCTCCCACCAAACAAGACTGGGCATCCAGGAGAAGGGGCAGTGGCTCTGGTGTCCCACAGAGTGAGAGGATATATGATGCCTCATTACGAGCGACAGGGTAAGGAGGTAAAATGGAGGGAGGGTCCATTACTGCCTAAGACCACCTCCTCCTCTCAGAGCCAACACGAGGTGGAGGACTGAACCACCTAGGATCTTGTAATCAGCTGCTGTCTTCTCATCATTCATCTGTTTTCCACTGTAGATGAGCCGCTGCTGCTGTGGGGGGATGCCCTCTTTCTCCTCCACACGCTCCTTGATTCGCTCCACCTTGTCTGTGGGTTCAATGTCAATCTCAATGTTAAGGGCTCTGTTCTGTAAGGCTGTCTCTGCCCACCCCCAACTTCAGACACCCGTTGCAAGCTCAGGTTGTCACCTGTGCTTTTGACCAACCAACCAGCCATAGATTGAAAGTTCCAACATCCTTCTCCCCTGGTTCAGTTCATTTGCGACAGCGACTCACAGAACTCACAGAAACGTCACTTACTAGATCACGTGTTAATCATAAAGGGATATAACTCAGGAGCAGCCAGATGGAAGGGATGCATAGGGCAAGTTATGGGGAAAGCCCTCTATGTGAGCCACTCTCCCCCAATCTCTTCATGTTCACCAACAGGGAAGTTCTCTACACCCAGTCCTTTTTGGGTTTTTATTGGAGGTCTCATTACAGAGACATAACTGATTAAATCTTTGGTAAATGGCAACTGATTCAATCCCCAGCCCCTATTTCCTCCAGGCCAGTGGGGTGGGACTTAAAGTTCCAACCTTCTAATCACATGGTTGGTTCTCCTAGCAACCAGCCCCCATCCAGGCGGGTTCCAGAAGAATGTTAATTAACATAACAAAAGATACCTTTATAACTCTTTCATTCAGGAAATTCCAAGGATTTTAGGAGCTTTGCGCCAGAAAAGGGAGCAAAAACCAGATATATTTTATATCATAAATCACAATATCACAAAGAGGATACAGGATAAAACAGTTATGAACCCAGATTTTTTATAGGAGAGTAAATTAGTTATTGTCATTGATTTATAATAAGATACATAAAACAATGACAAACTACAAAAGCAGGAAAAGAAATTCTTAATAAAAGTGATGGTATGGGGCACCTGGGTGGCTCAGTCGGTTAAGCATCTGCCATAGGCTCAGGTCACGATCCCAGGGTCCTGGGATGGAGCCCCACATCAGACTCCCTGCTCAGCGGGGAGTCTGCTTCTCCCTCTCCCATTCCCCCCTGCTTGTGTTCCCTCTTTCGCTGTCTCTCTCTCTCTGTCAAATAAATAAAATCTTAAAAAAAAAAAAAGTGATGGTATGAGGAGGTAGACTAAGGTTGGGAAACCAATTAGTCATCAGCTGAGCCAGATATAATGAGTATCTCTCCCAAGGCAAGGTGGGCAAAGGGAGGATGGAAGTGATTCAGGTGTTACTATGGAAATAGAAGTACCAGAAAGTCCTTAAACTGTACCTTTGAACTCAATAATTTCAAAAGAGTTTCAGAAATCACTTTAATCTGCCAGGAAATCAGTGTGATGTTCTCACTACCTCTACAAACATCTTATCCAGACTTTGAAGTGTTTACAATCTGGTTTAAGGGAAGAAATGTAATGAAATATTCGGTGGATGGTACAAAACAAAATGTAGTTGTCTTAAGTCCATTTCCACAGTATGCACCAAAGTTGCCAAGGGAGTTTTATGAAGAACAAGACTCATTTGTGTTAAAATATTGGAAAGGGCTTAAGTGAGATGGTATAAATTTAACAAGACCGAAAACTGTTTGGGCCATTGCTCCTATACTTCCACAAGGAAAATTGTTCATCTGTACTATTTTATCAGAGACACAAAACAATGTTCATTGGGTTATAATATAAGGTAAGTGACATCCAGAGACAAAACCCAATTATAAATTTTCTGGTTTCCCAGAAATACAAGAAAACATAAAGACTACTGATATAGTTGAGCATTCTTTTTTTACCCATTCATCTAATAAGGGCCAATCATTCCAGTTTGACTAGGAATTTAAGAATCACAAGAAAATTCATTATAATGATTTTTATAATGAGATCTTATACTATTTTTGAAGTAAAAACTCTTGCTTTAAAAGCATAAATTTTTGTCCTGAACAAACACAGAAAATATTTTTGCAAAGTCATAGGTTATTTCTTTAATCATGAATTTCAGCTCTTATGGTTATTTATGTTCACTTTTTATGCTATGGCACAATTTTACACAAAGTGACCAATTTTAAAGGAAATGTCTGTGTTTTTTCTAGCTCACTTTTGTAGATTTGGTACCACTTCAGGTCCCTACCTCATTCTTCTGTAGTGTCACTACCTCTCATCAACTTTTCTCTCTGCATAGACTTGACCAATACTGAATAAATAAGTGCCTCAGTGGTATATAAGCCAGAAAAGATATACCTGTACCTATTTTTATTTTATAGCTACGGTCTGCCAAATCTTTTTAAAAGGTAAAGATGAGTGATATCTAGGGAACAATCCAAAGAAATGCATATTTTATAGACACCTATATTGTAATAGAATTTCTTAAGAAATGTAGGTTGCATAACTGTGTTTAATGAACTAATAACGTCCTTCAAGTTTTTTTTTTTCTTTTTGCTTTCCAGTCTAGAACTTTCCTCTCTAACTACTACCGTGATCATAATGTGGAACTGTCCAAACTGCTACACAGACTGGGGCAGCCTCTGCCATCCTGGCTGAGACAGGAGCTGCAGAAAGTGAGATAGCAGTGGAGACAAGAACCAAGGCTTGAAGGATGCTTCCTTTTACTATTAAATAGAATAGCAAACCCCACAACTTTTACCCCCGTACTGCACTTGTGATTGTCAACAGAGGACTGTGTGAATAAATTTCCTTCTATCTTTTTCATAAAATGAAAACTATTATATATGCACGCACTGGCAATTACTAGCATCCATCCCTGTGTGAGCTTCTGGGAAGTAATGTGGGGTTTTGTGGCATTATCTAGTTTCCAGTATAGGGATCATAACAGAGCCCAGTTCCTCTGTTAACCACAAAGTTTCAGAAATTCTACATAAAACCGAGAATCCTAATTATATGCAAGTGACAAATGAGAATCTTGAGGAAAATAAAAGAACAGAGATATATGTAAATGAAGGTAGCAGGAACCCAATATCTGAATTTAAGGGCTTACATTTTCTCTTTACTAATTTAAAAACAAGTTTGTTTTTGTTGTGAAAAGAAATCCTATGATCCCATACTCTTATTTTGAGCAGTTATTATTTATTATATTTAGCCCACATATTTTCCTCCGTTACTCCTCTTTATGAATTTCCTTGGTTTGTTAGAGAAGTTGTAAAGTTGTAGCCTCCTCTGTTTGTCGTCTCTTTTCCTTCTATAGAAGGAAAAGATCCACATTCACGGATAGTACTATTTTATCTGGCAGGGCAATCCATTCTGAGTGAATTCTGCAATATGGGTCCAACAAAATCTATCAGAGATTTTGGGGAAAAGGCGTGAGAATGCATACTCTGTGTAGTATTAACTAATATGTATAAGGCCACCTTTCCATGGGACCATAACCTTACCATATTAGTAATGTAGGTATCTCCACCTTGACAATGATGCAGTATTTATATATTTTTTTCACTATCTATGGAAGAAAAAAAACTTTATTGATAAGATATGGAATGAAACCATCACCATGGGTTTACAGGTAGAGTGGGGCACTTGTGCCTTCTGTGGAATATTATGTCAATCATTTTAAAGCATGGACTTTTATATATACCAGTACATAATTATTGCAGAAGATTATGTTTTTAATGCCTATTTAAATATAAAATCTAAAACTTACCTCTTTAAACATTACTAATTCTCTAGCCTGAACCCTATTTCTCAGCCATGCTACCCAACAATTAATTTCTAGAGGAGAAGTGATGGCTCCTCCTCTCTTAGAGCTTTAGGTTTCTCTCCTATTTGGAGTTTATTGTCATGCTGGTTGAATTTTTATCCCATTTTTCAATGAAGATATATTAAGGCTTTGTTAATCTCTTCAGTGTGATACATGAAGGTAAAATTTCAAGAGAACGGTAAATCAAACACTTTAGTAACATTACCTGTCAATCCATCCTTCCTCCAGAGTAATTTTTCTATAGACTATAAATAATACTACTTTTTCCTACAATTTGAGAAATTATGCTTAACATAATTCAATGTCTTTAAGGAAACTGAAGATCCTTGTTTATATTTGTTCAGTTTTTGTTGTTGCTGTTGTTGTTGTTTTAAGCAAGCAAATGAAATCATATCTGAAAGAGAATCAAGAATTTTCACCTATTTTATTTCAGAATTCAACTTCGGATTTATACTTCATTAAAATTTTTGTTTTCCTGTTGTTTTCCCTTTGTTTTCCCACTGTATCTAGAGGCTTTGGATCTTTTTGAGAAAATGTGAAAATTTTTCTTGGGCTTGAGTTAATAGAAATCACAAATTATTACTTTGGTTGTTCCTTTGTTAACTGTGAGACTAAAATTCTCAACCTTACTGTTACTTACGTGATCGTGCGCTTGAAAGCATTGCACTAAGCACACTATAATCACAATAATTGGGTATTTAGGCCTCTAACATTTGACTTATTTGTTCACTAGCTTCCTCCAGTTTATATTCTAGTATTTTCTTTTTTGAACTACAGATTAACTTTTTTTCCCAAGTGGGATAACAGAAATGTTCTTAGGAAAAAAAAGGGAGATATTTTTCATATTAAGTAAAATTCAGACAAGTCAAAGTCCAACTCATCACCAGATTTGTAAAAATGTAACTCATTTTTGGCATTCTCATTTTTCCTAAGTAATGTATACAGTATCATTCACATATCTATAGACATCAGAGAACAAAATTCCCCCAAATTCAACCAGTTGTTTCTCCCTGGTTCATTTCAGTCAGTGTGTACATTTTTCTTATTAAGATTGTAAAGAAGAAAAAATAAATTTTAATTATATAATTCATCTTCATCTCATAGTAAGCTACTTAGAGGGACTCTGGGCTTTGGGAATATTATAATAAATCAGGAAAAATTTCAGCTTTAAGAATATCTTGATTTACCCACTGGCTACTTCAGAATTATTGAGTCAAGTTTAATATATGTAACTCTTTAAAATTTTAAGTCAATTCTATTTCATGGTCTTGAATTACATACTTTTTTAAATTTTAAAGAATTTCCTAAAACCTTTAAGCAAGACAGTACCTTCTCCTCTTTTCTTCTTCCAATCGCCTAACTCACAAATACAATCACTGATTACTTCACATTAATAAAGGCAGGAACAATATTTGATTACAAGCCTAAATCAAGATATAATGGCATGCTTGTCAAATACCAGTCTCTAAAAATTATATTACAAATCTCACCCAAAACCAAATTTTGCTCATATTTAACAATGCCCCCCAAAGAATTGAATAAGCAACAAGGAAGAATGTTAGTGAGAAAAATTTATAGTCCTCTTATTACTGTATTTTTTTCTTAAAAAATGCTCTTAGTCCATTTAGAGATTTTATTTGCCTCAATTTTAACAAATTCATTTATATTTAGCTTAGGTAGTTTTTATCCTTCTATCCTACTGTTTTAATATCTCATAAAGTGTTCTATTTGCCATGAATAATTGATTTATTTTTAGTTACACAGACAATTCATAGTGGAATAATATCTTAACAGTCTGGTTTTGGTGGCTAGATAACATATTACCCATTTGCTTGATGGAGGTACCTCAAAAATAATGCTGACCAACTAGTTTGAAAAGAAAGAAATCTAATAGTCTTATACATAGGATTTTATCTCAACTACAGGAACACAGCTTAGCCATGGGTACATATATATGCCCAATATATGTATATATATTCAAATTAACATTTTTGTGTGTGAGAGCCGGTGAGTTGGATGGGAAAAGCGAAAGAGAACTTGCATTTACTGATATTGTTAAATAACGGATATAGTACACACGTAACATATCTTTGGTTCTTCTTCAGAATGAATACTACCACTGGTATGGCCACTAGAGTAATGTTTCTCCTCTAAAATCTAAGGTTTTAATCAGTAGGTGGTTCTTTTTCACTATCTTTTTTTTATCTTCCTATTCTTTATCTGTATACATATTCCCTAAACGCCAAACATATAACTACTGTAACCAAGAAGTTATGAGAGTAGAGTTTGGATATCTGGATTCTCATACCAGTTCTGCCTCGCACTAGCTGTGTGGCCTCAGACAAGTCATGGAATTCCCCTGAGTCACAGTTTCCTTTTCTGTAAAAGAGAGACAATAAATGTTACTTACTCATTTGGTTATTGTAAGCATTACATGAGAGTATATTTAAATAACTTAGCACAAGGCCTGATGTAGTTATGCTGGAACATATTTGTTACAAAAATAATGTATAATATTCAAATCACTATCTCTTCTTTCATCAAACAAGAATATGTTTTCTATTTCCTTTAATAATAAAACATGTATGTCTTAAACATATAATTAATTGTATTTAGTCAAAATGGGAAACTGTCTTCTGCATCACTGTCCAAACATGATAATGTGCTGTTCTCTGCTATTGTTCTGATCACCATTTGGAGCAAGGTAGTTCCATCTCAGTCCACCCTGTTGAAACCCCTTTCCTCCTACCTATTTTTCCTCAATTTATTCAGAAGAGTGTCTCCCTTGGACCCTTTCTTTATATGACTTCTTCAGTTCTTTTGCAACCCAACAGATATTCTATCAGGAATATCAAATCTACAGGTACAACTTCCTCAAACCAAGTAACAGTCACAAAATTTAATGAAGGTATAATTATAACAATGAATCAATACTTAAAAAATCATTAAAAAGTACAAGAAAATTTCTCTGCATTCTTCACCAGTCTTTATCCCCAACTTCACTTTCTTCCATAGATCTCGTTTCCACAAAAGAAACATTTTATTACCCCTTAATATATTATTTCATATTATATTTGTTAATATCAAATATTATTATTTTTTGAAATTTTTATTACAAATGCACAATATTTCAGGTTTGAAATAAGACATTTACATAAATAATTTCCATCCAAAAAATATTTTATTGTTTCTCATATGTCTAAAGTCCGACATACTACCAAAAGCCAACACACAGTAGATACTCAATAAAAATTCATTGAAATATGTTGAAATGTGTTGAGGACTACCAATATACTTAATTATTTGCCTAACTTCAATATACATCATTATCTATCTTGTTAATTTACATTCCAGCTGTAGAATTTATTCATGGCTTTTGATGAACTACTGACTCCACAGAACTAGTAACTCTAAAATCTGTATCCCAAGCCCCTGAATTCCAGAACTATTACCACCTTACTCTGTTCATCCAGATCAAAATATCTGCCTGACTCCTAAATTGAGCACATCCTTTTGAATTCTTGATTGAACTCTTCCCTTTTCAGGGAAATTTTCTGCTTCCCCTCAAATTCCTTTTCTTTTTAAAAATACACCCAATCAGATCAACTTTTAATCCTTCTACTAATCTTTCTCTTCCACAAGCCCGAGGTACACTGATTCTTTTCCTGAATGTTTTTCATTAAACCATATTTGCCCAGTAGAAATATGTGAGTCACAAATGTAAACCACATATATAAATTTAAGTTTTCTAATAACCACTTTAGAAAATTATGAAAAGATTAATTTCAATACTTCATTTAATATATCCAAAATACTATTTCAACATGCAATCAATAAAAAATTATTAATGAGATATTTATATTCTTGTGTTCATACTGAGTCTTC